ATGGCTGATTTTAGTTTTGACAAAAAATCATAAAACACCCTATATCTCAGAAACGAGTAAGATTAAAGGCTAAGTATGGGGGTGTTTTGAACTCAGCTAAGTGTACTCTACCTCCGTTTAAATCTGAAACACCCTGTATAAAGATGTCTACCTATATTGCCGTCTTTGTAACTGACAAAGTCTCATATTTTTGGGACCTATATTTTTTTTCTTAACAAAGGAACTCTCTTTTTTAACTTATTCATATTTTATTTTAGAAAAAAAAAATTAAATCGTTTTTATTAACAATACCAAGGAAAGAGATTTATAAATTTTTTGATTTGTTTTCTTTGTGTGTTATCGGCTACAACTACTAAGGCTATTTCGCCTCGTATTATGTGTAGGCTTAATTACTGTTTCCCAGTACCACTTTAGGAACAGCACTGTTAATTAGAACTCAACAGTCAATGCTAAAAACATAATTAGGGTTCGTGACATTTTCGAAATTTTCTGAGCGTTAATTTGGAGATAAGTTAGGAAAACAGCATTTTTTAGCAATTTTTTGAAATATTAAATTTTAAAAACTGAGTGCAAACGAACTTATACATTTTTGAAATCATGCTTTAAAGAGCTTTCATTGAATGCCCCACGCGATTGCATCAGAAAAAAATTTAACTTTCCATTCAAACCCCCCAAGATAATAAATCTACTTTTTTAGTTAACGCCTGTATTTGGGCTACTACTTACTACAACCGTTTCAAATTTTAATCTGTTTGTTTTTGTCCCCCTTGTTTTTTTAAAAATAAATTGACTGCACCAGAAAACATATGTTGTGCTTAATAACTTATTAAAAAATTTTACCGAATAAACCAATGAAAATTTTTTATTTATATAAAATAAAAAAATTCTGTTTCTCCTTTAATAATATTAATAAAAATATGGAAAATTCGTTCCTAATATAAAACACTGGTTATTTGAATCAGCAGTATATAAACCTCTGGACAAAATTAAGAATTTAAATTGTTAATTTTGACCAGTGACAAATTCTGTATTGGGGTAGATTCTTCGCGGAACGTTTGCATTACTATTTTAATTTTTTAATTATTACATTTACTTCAGTATTCCTCATGCTCTTGAACATAAAATAAATCCGGTACTAGCTGATGAACATCCTCGTAGTTTGAATGATACTGTTATAGTTCAGTTCGAACCGCAAACAGGGGTAGTCGGAATTATGAGACCAGTGATAAAGAAATAAAATGTTCCTTTGGAGCAACAGACAATCTCCTGCTGTATCTTTATTTATGGAAAGCCTTCATTGAGATACACTACACATTATTTGCAATAAATATCAAAACAAGCATACAATTTTAAATAATTTGACATTTAAGAGCCATTCACACATCACAGTTGACATCTTGATACTTGACAGGCACAGCTAAGCATTATTCTAATTTTTGCCAATTAAAATGGCTGGTTAATTGGGCATTCCAAACAAAATGGTTACCAGTGGGTTTTGACAAGTTATGATATGGAGAAATGATGGCAACTCTGTAGGGCTGGTGATTTGGCAAGGTCAATGAAATAGATAGTTACGTAGATTGATCATCCATATTTTTTAAAATAAACATAAGCTTATGCCTTAAAGTAAACATTTAGGTAATTATTTTTTTTACTATATTTAAAGGCTAAACATTGATTTGTAAACACATTTTTGCAAAATTGATTCTGATTAATGAGCACTTGCGAGTCAATATGGCCGCTTGTAAACGACCCGCTTCGGCAATCTATATAACTATATGTGTATCATTGACCCTGTTAATGACAACAAACGCACAGGGTTGCTATTAGGCATTCCAAACTGAATGGCTACCAGTGGGTTCTGACAGGTTATGATATGACAAAATTATGGCAACCCTGTAGGCCTGGTGATTTGACAAGGTCAATGAAATAGATAGTTACATAGATTGATCATCCATATTTTTCAAAATAAACATAAGCTTATGCCTTGAAGTAAAAATGTAAGCAATTATTTTTTTTTAAATATCTAAAGGCTAAAAATTGGTTTTAAAACACATTTTTGCTAAACCGATTCAAATTAATAAATATTTGCCAGGCAATCTATATAACTATATATGTATCATTGACCCTGTTAATGACAACATGATTGTCATATCTAAACTGTCATTACCCACTGGTAGCCATTTGGACAGGTCGTTGGAATGCCTAATTATAGGCATTCCAACGACCTGTCAAACAATACCTGCCAGTGGGAAGGTCTCGTATATCTAAGGGGGTAGCGACATAGTCTTGCATCTTGGACGCTATTTTTATTCGAAATATCAGTTGCCAATCCTGCCAGCAGTTTTTTTAATTAATATTTTTATAGTGTTCGATATAATATATTTAAATGTAATCCATTATTCATGATTTTACGTATTTTAGATAGAATACATCGTATGTCGCAACCGTCAGATCTACCAAACCTGCCCACTGGCAATTCATTTGTTTGGAATGCCTAATATCTAAATGTCAGTTCCCACTTGTCAGCAGTTTGACAGGTCGTTGGAATGCGTAATTATTCTAGGGGGTTGTCACAGAGAGCCAGTAAATTTAATGAAGGTGTTTTTGTGGCTAGGGGCGAAATAGTAGTAAGCTTAAATTAGCACCATCATAAAAAAGTCATTTTTAAGAAACTGTTTATATATTTTTCATAAATTGGCGACTAATTTCGACTAAAAATAGCCTCCAAAATGGCTATGGTTGCCTTAGAAATTTCATCTTTACAATCAACAGCTGTTGTTTGACAGGTTGTTGGAGAATATTTGCAATATATGGAATGTTAGGAATGTTATACGTTAAGAATGATTGGAATTCGTAAAATTAATCACATTTTAAAAAAATTGATATTAAAGTAGTTAGGATGAACCGAAAATTTTGAAAATCAATAGGGTTCTAACTTAGAAGTAATTATTCAAGAAAATCAAAACAATCAGAACTTTCGTCCTAGAGTTATCGCGCCGGCATATATACACACAGACGACTAGACGAAATTTTTTTTTGCATTTTCGGACTCAGAATGATTGGAAACATGAAAAAACTTATAAAAAAATGGGGACAAGAAATTTTTTCATCTGCACGAATGCAATACTGAGGCCCCATAGGAAGGGCCTCAGTAATTGGGGTACGTCAAATAGTCTCCTGTGACATACGGATAGTCAAATAAACACCGTGTGATTTTATAATTATTATTCCTTTTTACAAATTGGGGACGGAACGGAACACAAAAAAAAAATTAAAAACTATTTTCATATAACCACGAAACCATTATTTTTTAATTTCACTATCCGAATTCGAATCGCTCCCAGGTGGGTGTGTAAATCTAGATAAGCGAACCGTTTGGTTTCAACGATTCCTGTGGTGTAAAATAGTTCTCAAAGCGTGACTGCTGCTTTCACAAACAACCAAGTGACTCTTATACGGAACATGCATCTCGGACGTTTGTCTCTACATCTCTCAACAAATTCCACGAATCATGTAACTGGAAGTGTTCGTAACGAGAAAACGATATCGAAATTAAAAATGTTACTCGCTAGCTTACATGATACTTTCCCGATGTTTAATCATTTTCATGAGGAACTTCATTTTGATAAGCTTATTATTATTGTTAAGAACAGGCAAGGTACGTATTCGATGAAACTGCTCTTTTAGTTAGTGACAATAATTATTGTTATGTGAGCCATTTCATTATTCAGTCATGTTCTAATCCTACAAGTCCCTCTCTGTCTTATTTGGCCTTTGAGGCTCAACTTGTCAACGTGATAATGTTTCTGGTATATTCCAGATATGAGATGTTCTATTTTGGTGGAGGAGCATTCTGGAATCCACCAATTTGTATATAAATATTGGTAGAGAAACACAGGCAATCAATTAGTAGATAGACAGTGGTGAATATAAATAGTGAACGATTCAAAGACATTCGAAATATATTTAAATTAGAATAGTATTGTTTAAAATAAATAAGTGTTTAAATAAATTATTAATAAATAAACTGTTGTTTTAAAATAAACAAACATCACATTATTCTAAATTACCACATGACAGTTAAAACTTAATATACTATAAACTGTAATGAATAAAATTATTTCTTCTTTCTTCGAGTTCTTTATTTACTCTCGCCTTGAACTGGTTTATGTTCTGGGCCGAGACCGTATGTTCTGGAGATCATTCCACAGATATATGGTTCTGTTTGTAATGAAAATAAGATTTTTGATGTGCTGGCCTGGAAGATGTTATCACAGGTGTAATGTCCGCTGATCCACTTGTAAATTTCTATCAAGTCTTCTGTAGTTCTTCCATCCTTTAAACTTGAAAGTTGTAGTTTGGTTAGCCGATCACAATACTCATTGTTTTGTACGGTTGGTGGTATTTTGGTGAATCTCCTTTGTACTCTTTTCAGCAGTTCAATGTCTTTAACAAAGTATTTTCTTTTTTTATTAATTATAAAATTTTTGGAAATTTTTAATGTTTCTGCCCCAATGTATAATAAATTTAAAATTTTTTAACGGTCTTTATTTTTTAAAAAAGTAAATACTTTTTAAATGGGATTAAAATTGCGCTTTTTAATTAAAATTGGCCGCCACATGCTGCTATCACTCTGCTATAACGGGCGAGTCTCGATGTGGCAACGCTGCACCGAGCGATATCGATTATTTCGCTCTGCATGATTTGGTATATTACTTTCACTCGTAGAATTTTTTATATTTTTGAAATACTAGTAACATAATATTTTCTATTTAATTATTATTTTGAATTACGTATTTTTTTGGAAATAACTAGTAATTTTTATAATAAACATTGCATCTCATTTTTCGAGTTGTGATAATTTTTCAAGGAAAAAATATTAAGGGAAGAATAAAAGGTGATATGGATGGACATGCGATATAAAAAAATTATCTATTTTTATATGAGTGAAATATTTATTTGTTTTTTTATAAATTTACATTTGTTAATTCTTTTCTACAGTTTTCTCTTATGTTCAAGTTCCTTGTTGCCCTTGGATCAACTAGCTCCGGAAGAAGACAATTGAAAAAAAATATTTTTAATTTCGGAACCATTTCGTTTAACCAGAATGTCTCATCTTTATAAATCTAAAAAAAGGACATTAATAAAGTTAAAAAAAAGTTAATTAATACCTAGTTACCTCTTCAATTAAGCAACCTTTTGGGCTCCATATAACGAAGTAGCATTTATCTTTTTTTGTTATTGCTAATTGCCCTTGGACCTGGAAGTAATATTCATGTCTTCTATTGAGTGCGAAGGAATCATTTTCAAGTTTGGCATATTTTATTTTTTTTGTTCGTATGCCCTTTTCTGGACTCATGTCCCTAATATTCAAAGGACACTTTATTTATAAAATGGCGTTGTCATCCACCAATCCATCTGGACTAGTACCCAAAAAACTATATTCTTTATCGATGAATAGCCCACATTTTTTTACTCTGTGTTTGGAGATTGCCTCAAAATCTTCGACTGCAAACGGCTCGTTTAATTTCCCATATTGTGTCGCGTTGTTGCCTTTAAATTTGTTGTATAATAATACTTTAATTGAGTTGATGCTGCTAGTGTTTGCTTTTAGTTTACAAATTTTTCCAAAATTTGATGCCATTATCCTTTTTTGTCTCTCTTCCAACCATAAAATGGAAGAGGTCTGTTCCTTGGTAAGATCCTCTATTGTATCAATCTCTTCTTGCGTTTTATTTAACATATTTAGGAATTCCAGTTCTCTCAAATTATACTCATTTTCATCCATACCAGGAATAAGTTCATGGATATTACCATAATACCTATCTGGAAGAGCTTATTTTTTTTCAATCGCATCTCTTGTCAACGCTCCTTTCTTTTTTTCGTTAGTTTCGCAAATCTTAGTTTCCTTTTTCCAATTATTTTTAAATATTTCTTTGTGTATGTATTGGGCTCATTTCCTGTTATTGCCTTATGGAGTATATCATAATATTCTGCTTCCTTGTTGAATGATACTACCGCAGCTTCACATCTGGTCTGATAGAAATTCCTTTTCGAAAAGATGATTCTTTTTCCTCCAACGAATTTGCAAACTATTGAATTATAATGTTCAGCAAGATTATTATTCATATTGTGAATCAAACTTTCGATATTCAAAATAAGTCGATTCAATCAAAGCAGGATGTCTCTGTATAACTTACATTATTTCATAAGTGCTACGAAATTGGTGCCTTTTCTGTCACATTTAAAATAATTGATTGCTTCACATTCCGCGTGTTCACCAAACACATGGGAAGAGGCATTGAGGATATCTCTTTTCAACAGTTCTACTTTCTTTTTAAAATCGGTGTTTTCTTCAATTCGATATTTCGTTGCCTTACTGATAGCAAATTTTAAACGTTTTGAATTTTTTTCCACCTCTTTTCTCAGGTAGACTGGTACAGAAGAATTTGTAGAAACACTCCGGGGTTTCTCTAAAAATATAAAATATTATAATGTTAGGAAGTCATTAAATAATTTACTCATGTTAGGTATAAGTCATTAAAGAATTTACTCACCAACGAAGAAAAATATCTAAGCAGATGGTTTCTACATTCAATTTTCGAAATTGCTGTTTGAGGACCATACGGTTTCGTTTCCATCAGTTTCTTATACACAGAACCGTCACCTTCAATAATAACTATTTCCATTGATGTAGACGTACCGGTCCAGTTTTTAAAACATTTATGTTGCGGTATTTCTGTTTTCGGTTGTAAAAATCACAAATACTGCAGAATTTGTTTCTAACTTTCACATATAATAATTTTCCAGTCCGGTAACCTACAATACATCCCTAAAAAGAATAATGTTAAAAATATAATTTTCTACTTGTATAAAATTTGGACTTACCACGCCAGAAGAAGCATTATAGTTGACGTTATATGATCGTTTTGACCATGCTCCATCTGCTACCACAGTTATAAATGGAATCCCATTTCCATCTACTTCTCCTAAGCGTTTGGCCAACTCTGCTTCCTCTCTTCCAGCTTCTTCCATTACTTGCGTGGCTGTTGAGTAAATTGCATCAGCCACTTTTTCGTGATAGTGGACGTAAGTTTTCTCCGCAATCATTGGCATATTTATTGCAGCTGCTATTTTGGCAAAGGTTGAGTAACCGATACCAGTCGAAACTGCTCCCAAAGTCAGTGCCGAATTGATATCTATTGAATCAGTGGTTCCTGAGAAATTTTTCGGATCTTCCGAATAAATTTGTTTAGTTATGCCACACATTTTACATTTAAAAGTAAATGTTGACATAAACCCCTTTCTCACTTCATTGATAACCTCCATATCTGTGATATCACATCCAAACAGTCCGGTGCTTTTTTCATCAACAATTTGTTTGAAAAGGAAAAGGATGTCTACTATCCTTCTTCCAGTGAGAACAAAATCATCGGAGATTGTCTTCTGCTCCAAAGGAAATTTTTTTTCTTTATCACTGGTCTCATAATTCCGACTACACCCGGTTTGCGGTTCGAACTGAACTATAACAGTATCATTCAAACTACGAAGATGTTCATCAGCTAGTACCGGATTTATTTTATGTTCAAGAGCATGAGGAATACTGAAATAAATGTAATAATTAAAAAATTAAAATAGTAATGCAAACGTTCCGCGAAAAATCTACCCGAATACAGAATATTTGTCCCTGGTCAAAATTAACAATTTAAATCCTTAATTTTGTCCAGAGGTTTATATACTGCGGATTCCAATAATCAGTGTTTTAGATTAGGTACGAATTTTCCATATTTTTTATTAATATTATTTTATATAAATAAAAAATTGTTATTGGTATTTTTTATTAAGTTATTAAGCACAACATATGTTTCGTGTTAAATTAAATCAATATTTTATTTTAAATACACCAAAACATGGAAAAAAATTTATATATATATATATAAAATTCTACTAAAGTCAGGAAATTATCTTCATTTAAAGATTTTTTTTTTATAAAAACTGTCTTGATTAAAGTAAAAATTTGACTTAACCTAAGTTGTCTCTAAGTAAAAAAACGTTAATAGAAACTACTGCTGAAACCTAATAATAAAACCAAAAATAGATGTTTCCGGCATTCGTATTGTCGAGATCAAAACCGACTGCATTTGGCGGTTTCGGCAAATCAGCGTATGTGAAAAACTAACCTTCTAGCGGTGATTCCGGAACACATAATTTTTTTCTCACAATGATTATTTAATTACATTTTATTTCAAGCGATCATCTTAATCCGCTAAGAAATAAATATATAAGTTCATTCATGTATTCCGTTTCTCTTCTTCTCGTCCGTTCTTCTTTGTTATGCAGCAGACGCTAATTGGATACTGGTGGTATAATGGTATAAAACACCTCGTTTATTATGTTAAAATCAGGTTTCTGGTAACGCCGCAGCACTAACAGTGAGAACATAATTTACTGTTTAAGAGGTAATACAGCCTTTGCTGCTTTAATAATTATTATTGATGGGTAATGGGTAATTAAATAAACAATGGGAGATGATGCATTAGGTATACAGTATGTGTTTTAGAAATGGAGGGTAATTCCTTTAGTTTTATATGATTTTACTGAAGACATAACCGTACCTTCATGGCAATAGATTATATAAAATTAGGAAAGGTAATTATTGTATAGGTACCCATTCGGGTACCTATAATGTTATAAAATAAACCTTGGAATCAAATCAAGTCAAGTTAGAAAAAAAACATAAGTTACTTGACTTTATGATCCCCAAGAATATAGAAATCAGATCAATTAATTTAAATGTATTAGCTATATCTAGAAAAAAAGTCTCCTATGTCAAAGAATACTGAATACAAAAGCACTCATATCACGCTGAGAAATCCAATAACAAATTTAGCAATCACAGAACCAGCCGATATAGCAGAAAGATTTGCAGAACAGTTCAGTGCATCTTATACAACAAAACCTGATATAGAATCACCGCAAATAACTGCAACGAAAAGAGTTGAGAGTAGCATTGTGAATATAGAATTTACCCCAGAAAAAGTAAAATTTGCAATAGATATTTAAGTCTTGGAATAAATGAAATCCCATCCATTTTTTCTTAAAAAATGTTCTAATAGCCTTCTTGATCTCCTCGTGACGGTTATGAACAACTCTATGCAAAAACAAGAACTGCAAATGGATGGAAACAGGCTATGGTCACTCTTATATAGAAAGAAATAGTGGGAACTTTTGGTCAAACGTAAATTCTAAAAGGAAAGATGGTGGAATACCTGAATTTATGACTATCATGCAGGATATTATAAATGGATTTGCTACTTACTTTAAAAATTCCTACAGTGATTCATCAACTCTTGATGTTGTCTTAGAGTGATTCATCAAATAATTTACATGTGCATATAGCTGAATTTAAAGAATCTGATGTGTCAAAGGCAATATTAAAGTTAAAAATCTAAATTTATATACTAAGGGACCAGATAATATACCTTCATGTTTTGCAATTATTCCTATGCATGGCAGAGGTTAAGAATATGTCCTGTTTTTTTAAAAATGTATAAAAATTGTATTGAGAACTATCGACCCATCACTATTATATGTAATTTTGCCAAGGTTTTTGAAATTATAAAAAATATTGTATGTTACACGGTACGAATTCGCTTATGTTGCGGGACCTCGCTCTGCTCGTCCCACAACTATTCACTCGTTACATAAAATAAGACATGTCGTAACTGGTTTCAAAAATAGCTATTTTATTTTCGATATACATTGTATATTTCTCCTGAAATCCAACAAAACTTCTGTAGCAACCTCTTTTTTAATTTTTGTTCTTTTAGTAAAGCCCTTTAACTTTTTTTTTTGTTGTGTTTATGCTTGTAAGAAACCATCTCATCTTTTATTGAATACAAGATCTACAAAGCTGCAATTGATTTAATAATTATGATTAATAATTGCAGAATAATATTCTAAAATCTTACGATTAGCCTTTAATTTCAGTTTAGGGATCACCCCTTTCTTGTGCTAATTTTTGTTTTTAAAAATTGTGTTTGCAAACAGCAACACTGCAGCTAGCTCCAGGCATGCTAAAATTTTAAATTATTTCAGGATATAAACAAAATGTGGTCCGAGTTTGGCTCGGAGGCCGTAACCTAATCCCGAATGTTTAAAATATACCAGTAATTCATTTGAAATTTTATGGAAATCATTACATGATTTTCCTTTGCTGTTTTGTAGCTCATAAAAAAATAAAACTACCGATATCATAAAAACTCTAACACTAAAAAAAAAATAAAAATATAAACAACGTTATATAACAATAAAATATTAGATTTTTTAACAAATCAAATCAAAATAAACTAGATAAAAGATTCATTTATAAATCATAAATGACATGGCCCAGAATATAAATATTTTTGATTAAACTTCACCTCTTTAAGTTATATTTACAAAATTATTTATAAAATGTGAGGTACCTACATATCGAAACTAGAATCACTTCCTATTATTTTTAATTTAACGTTTAGATTGCTCATTAAAAATTATAATTAATTATGTTCAATATGCGATCAAATGGGCGATCAAAAGCTTATCAAAAACAGAGTTCGTTAATATATTTCTTCCTGTTTTTATAATCGACTTAAATGTTTTAATTCAAGGGTAAATTAAAGTAAATTTATCAGCAGTATACGTTGTATTGCCATTATTATAAACTGATTACAGAAAGCTACAAAAAACACGGTGAAATTGAAAATTTGTTTCAACAATTAATGTAAGGGAAATTTTGTTTGTCTTCTCTCACAATAATTTTTCTGTATAGCACTTTTAAAATATTCTTTTTTATCTTCAATATATTGTTTTTGGTTAATTTGTTGCATTCATTTTACAATGCAGCACTAGGTTCTGGATTTCTTGATGGGTAAAAAAAAATAAATTTAAGTCCTCTCTCCCAGCATAAGTTTGTTATTTAAAATAATGGTGAAAAATGTTCAGGCTTTTTAACTGATCCTAAAAACAGTATTTTTTAGACTTGTTATACTTTAATTACTATTACAGTAGCTCATATTAAAGTACAGTATGGCCCAAAATAAACAATCATACCAAATCTTTCCAGATATATATGACCAAAGAAGCAGTCTTCAAAAATACACCATAAACTATCAATAAATTGCAGGGGATCTTTCGAACTCTCAAAGAGCAGGTCTACGCGATATTTCTTAAATAAATAAAGAAATTATAAGTTCAGTAGTGTTTATTTTGGGCCATACTGTATACAGAAAAGTTCTTATTCCGATTGTTTTCTGTCCGAAAAACGACGGTTTTTGAGACATTCAAATAAAAATATAGTTTTATATAAATTCCAGTTATAAATCACCTATAGGCTCTTTAACACTCTTCGCATTACAAATAAGCAATACGAGTTGTAATAAATCAGCTCGACGAGGCCCAATGGGCTTTTGCATTTACATAAAGTGTTTATGCCGAAGGATGTTGAAACGGTGAAATTTTGCACCTGACGCCTACTTATTTTTCATGCATAAGAATTTATATGCTGTAATTTAGCAAGATGCTGCTGAAATATCATCACAAATATATGGTTTGGGTATAATTATATGTCCCAAGTGTTTGATCAAAAGCATTAAATAAAAATTAATAACATAATATACTCGTATGTTTTAAGTACAGAAAAAATTGTGAAATATACTGGAACGGGTAAAATATTTTTCCTACGACCACATACGAAAATGATAGCACACTTATTTGTTCTTAAGAAAGTAGCTTATATCACACGAGTACTGAAATATATATCACACACGTATTGAAAAATTAGGCATTCCAACGACCTGTCCAAATGGCTACCAGTGGGGACTGACAGTTTAGATATGGCAACCCTGTTGTTATGTTGTCATTAACAGGGTCAATGATACATACATAGTTATATAGGTTGCTCACAGCTGGTCGTTTGCGAGCGGCCATATTGCCTGATAAATATTTATTAATTTGAATCGTTTTAGCAAAAATGTGTTTTAAAACCAATTTTCAGCCTTTAGATATTTAAAAAATAATAATTGCTTACATTTTTACTTCAAGGCATAAGCTTATGTTTATTTTGAAGAATATGGATGATCAATCTATGTAACTATCTATTTCATTGACCTTGTTAAATCACCGTGCCTACAGGGTTGCCATAATTTTGCCATATCATAACCTGTCAAAACCCACTGGTAGCCATTCAGTTTGGAATGCCTAATAGCAAAAGACACATGTATTGAAAAGTAAAAAAATATCGTCCTATGACCTGTGACATGTACGTCAAAGTTATCATTATAATTGTCATTACAAATTTTTATATAATATCAAATGAGCAATAAAGTTTTTTATATAGGTTTTTAAAATTATAAAATAATAATAAAACACGTTTACTCACTAATATTTATCGAATATTGAAACAAAATTTTCTGGAAAGAAAATAATTTTCTTCTTCTTTTCTATGGTGTTATTTTCGGTTTCAAATACGACAATGTGAATTTTTGAGGTTATGTTTATATTAGTGTTTACAATACACCATTCTGTAGGTGTCTATTAGTTTGAAAATATTTAACGTTTATTGTG